TGATGGCCACCATCACTTGAATTTCTCTCATAATCAGAATCCATAACTCCTGGGACTATAGTAATGCCCTGTAAATTAAGACAGCTTTTACCCAAAAATTAATCCCCATATATCCTGTTGGCAAAGGTCCCCAAATACCAGTGGGAAGTTTGGTGGGTTTGTCTCCTCCCACTAACGTTACACCTGTTCTCTGGGAGATCGAATCCTGCACTTGTGTGTTCCTGGGGAGAGGGAATCAATGTCCTGGGGAGAGGGAATCAATGTGCCTCCGGAGCCCATCCCCCGAGACGGGGCTGGTTGGATGGGGAATGCTCTCCATTGTTTGTGGGCCCGGGTCCAGGTCTCTCTCGTTTCACAAGGGTGCCATTCTGATGAAATTTTGATGGCATTGACTAGCCCAATGATTTTTATTGCAGGATAGCAAAATCCTCAAGCAGTTTTTTTCTGTTGGGGGTGCAGAACTGCATTTATAAGATCCCTTCTGCCTCGTGTCTACTAAAATACAAAAAATTAGCCGGGCGTGGCGGCGCTTGTAGTCCCAGTTACTCGGGAGGCTGAGGCAGGAGAATGGCGGGAACCCGGGAGGCGGGGCTTGCAGGAAGCCGAGATCACTCGACTCCACTCCAGCCTGGGCGGCAGAGCGAGACTCCGCTTCAAACAAATCCTTCTGCCCAGAGGTCTGACGGTGTTCTTTTGAAGTGTCCGATTTTTCCACAATATAACATTTTTCCATTTTAGGATCTATGCCCTTTGGTTCTTTTTAGATTTGTCCACTACTAAATTAGCCGCTGTTTTGGAGGCAACATTGCAGAGTGATAAAGCTCTAGTTCCTTAATATCTCGACAAGCTTCGAGAAAATTTCCAAGTTTTTTACATCTCTCAGGTGCCAGTGCACATCTACAATCTGCATTTGCATTCTCAAAAGCTAGAGTTAAGGTTAGCATTTCTGCAGCCATGGTATGAGGAATCTGATGCTTCACTGCCTCTCGTAATCTTGCAAGAAAATATGCATAAGCCACCCTTGCATGATATGTAAAAAAGATTGTACTGGGTGGGACTCTTCTCAGGAATTAAAGCCCAGGCACGTTTTAGCAGCCAAGGCACACCGCTTGTAAGCAGCGTCAAGCAGTGCCATTTGATGTTCCAGATCTGAATAAGGGACCATTATCTAACAACATATCCTGTAATGTCTCTGTGTCCAGCAGCACGATTCTGTCTAGCCTGGTCTGGTACACAGTTCTTGCCAATTTAAATTCATGTCAGGTATGCACTAGCAGACAAACAAGTGCGAGCTAAATGCTTTACATCAAGTATTTGATGTGGAAGGCGATAAAGGCCAAATATAGATTCTAGCAATCCTAAAGTAAATGGGCTTTGTACTCCATTATTAACTACACTAGCTTTTAATTCCTTCAGCAACTTAAACTGTAGTGGGGTGTGTTCATGAATAAACTGCTGCAGATTATTTGGATTGGGCTCACGGAAATGGGAAAAGCTAAGGTCCTAAGGGCTTCCAGCTATGGCAGCAGAGCGTAAAATTTTTGTACTGGGGTCTCTATTTCTGCTACTGAAGGAGGTGGTACAGATGTTTCTGCTACTGATAAAGTGACAGGCCAATTTTCATCCTCCTGCTGTTTATTATTTTTAATTGGTACTGTAAGAGACAAAGATTCTTTCAGATTTTTAGACCAGAATATGACTCTGCTGTCTGCAGAATAAGAAGGGAGATAATGGCAGGAGGACAGTGTGATAAAACTCCAAGCAGAAAAAACAGAAGAATCAACTTTTAAGACCTTTTGGTGGAGCCCGTTTTTAATCCTTCTCCTACTCTGTCCCAAATTTCTACATCGAGACTGCCTGTCTGTGTGGAAACCATGGGTTATGTATAGTGACCTTCTTGAGCATCTTTTTTTGTTTTTTGGAGATAGAGTCTCTCTCTGTCACCCAGGCTGGAGGCAGGCGTGATCTCGGCTCACTGCAAGCTCCGCCTCCTGGGTTCACGCCATTCTCCTGCCTTAGCCTCCCGAGTAGCTGGGACTACAGGCACCTGCCACCACACCCAGCTAATTTTTTGTATTTTTAGTAGACACGGGGTTTCACCATGTTAGCCAGGATGGTCTCGATCTCCTGATCTCGTGATCTGCCCACCTCGGCCTCCCAAAGTGCTGGGATTACAGGCATGAGCCACTGCACTCCAGCGCTTCTTCAAAGCATCTTACACGTCTGAGAACTAACCTTGAGCACCAGATTGTTTAAGTAAAACTTAAGCAAATGCACGTAATGTTGCACCTCAGTAGACAAATTCTGCCCCATGTTACCCTGATTCAGAGAGCTTCCCATTCCCAGTACCCTCTAGGGTAATTGACCTTATATTGGCTGCTGGGCTGACTTGAGTCAGGTTTCTCATTTGTCTTGTCAGTTTCTCTTCTGCTCCAGCAGACTTTCTTGCTCACGTTCTGTCCCGCCACCACTTGTTGCTGTTGGCGATACAAGATTGAACAAATGGGACGAATGCAGAAATGAAGACAAAGACAAAGAGATCTGTTTTGAAAGAAGGGGTCAGGGAGCTCTGTTTCTAGTGAACAAGGGCCCTGAGCTTTGGGCAGCCCTTCTCGTATTTATTAGGTAGAAAGAGCAGGGGAGGGAGAGGTAACGGTTGGTCAGCTGCTTGATTTATCACAGGTTCACATGATTACTTTCTTTGTACAACAGTTTTCAGGTGTTCATATAGATAATCACAAGGAACACTGCACTTTGAGTGTGACTGCCCTCAGTGCCCCTTCTGGCAGCAGATGCAGTTGCTAGTTTTCCAACATCTTGCTTTCAAAAGAACAGTTTTCTGTTTGTTCACATAGCCTCCAGTGATATACTGAGTTGGTCATGACTCTTATTCTTTCAGCCTGTAACCAAAGTTAACATTAGTGACCTTGACACCAAGTGTTGAGACACTGGAGCACCTGGAGCTCGAGACCCTGCAGGTGGAAATGCACATGATACAACCACCTGGGAAAAGAGTTTGCAGTTTCTTCAGACATGGAACGTATGTCTTCCAGAGATGATCCAGCCCCTCAGCTCTTCCATATTTAGTCAAAATGATAGAGTTTTATGTCTACACAGAGACTTGTATGTGAACATTCATATAGCTTATTTGTAATAGCAAAACTGGAAACAATTCAAGTGAGGGGAATTTTTTTAAACATGTGAAATAAGGGCTGGCGTGGTGGCTCACACCTACAATCCCAGCACTTTGGGGGGCCGAGGCAGGTGGATCGCTTGAGGCCAGGAGTTTGAGACCAGCCTGGACACATGACAAAAACCCTGTCTCTACTAAAAATTAAAAACTAGCTGGCTGTGATGGCACTCACCTGTAGTCCCAGCTACTTGGGAGGCTGAGGCAGAGAATTGCTTGAACCTGGGAGGCGGAGGTTGCAGTGAGCTGAAGGTCATGCCATGGCACTGCAGCTGAGTTGACAGAGAGAGACTCTGTCTCAAAACAAAACAACAATAAAACAAACAACAACAAAAAAAGTGAACTACCCATACAATAGAATACAACTTGCGATACAAGAAAACATTCTACTGATATACCAATGATAACATAGTTATGCTGAATAAAAGAAACCAGCTCAAAAACTTGATTTACACTGTAGGATTCCATTTATCTTAGATTCTGCAAAATGCAAACTCATTGATAGTAAGAGAAAATGGATCAGTGCTATCATCCCTTAGCTAAGGCTGTCACAACAAAAATACTACAGACTGGGTGGTGCATAAACAACAGAAATGTATTTCTCATAGTTCTGAGCTGGAAGTCCAAGAGCAAGATGTTAGCAGGTCTCAGCTGAGCCTGAAGCCTCCTCCCTGGGCTTGCAGGTGGCTGCCTTCTTTGCTACCCCTTCCTGAGGTTGCCCTCTGTGCTCGCAAGATCGCCCTGGTATGTCTCCTCTACGTGTCCTCATCTCCTCTTCAGAGAAGGACACCAGTCAGATGGCATTAGGACTTACCCTAACAGACTCATTTTAATTGCTCTGAAAGGTTCTTAGCTCCAAATACAGCTACATTTTGAGGTACTGAGACTAGGGTATCAACATATAATTTTTAGGGGACTACAGTTCAATCCCTAACACCTGGGGACAGAGTAAGGAGGAGGGCGGTCTTGGGGATTATGAATATGCTCACAGTCCTGACCACAGTGGTGGTGTTACCAGGTATACACATACATCAGTTTAACATATTGTTCTCTTTAAATATTTACAGTTTATTACGTGTGAGTTATAATTTGATTTTAATCACAGGAAAATGATATTTAAAAAAAGACAAAATGTGATGCTATATCTCTTATTTTTAGATTGCTCCAGAAGCAAACTTTGAATATCAAAACTCACCACACACCGTCAGAAAGGAGTAGGGTGTGGTGCAGCAGGAACTGGCACACAGTGGAGGCTGGGATGCATCTAATATAGCCAGACTTCAACGGGGATAGGAGGGAGACCTTCAAAGCTGGAAGACAGGAAAGGGCCAGGAGAGGGAAGAGCTGGAGGTGGAGGGCGCTGGGCCTGGCTGTGCAGAGAGCCAGGAATCGGGATCCCCAGAGGTGGCTCAGCGAGGGGGCCATGCCCAGCGGCCGAATCACTACAGAACAGGCCGTAAGGAGTTCACCTCGGCTGCGGCTGAGACTCAGAAAAGAGCTAGCCTAGCCCCTAGGAGAGCTGAACGCTGTCGAAAGTGTGCTGTTGAGAAGCATGCAACTGGTGATTGCAATTTCTCCAGTTCTGCTCCTCAGAATTTCTCACATGGTAATACTTCAGTAACTTCTCTTTAGAAAATAATTCATGTAATATTTTGGATGCTTACCAGAGAGTCTTGGACCCCAAGGCAGAGGCTCCTTAATCTCTAGGTGGAAAAGTCTTAGGGCCACAGCCAGAGCTGGGCCATCCATGGAAGGGGTGAACTGTGTTCTGCTTCTTTGTATGTTTAGACACACAAACTCCAGCCCTGGAATGGACAACTGCAACAGCAAGCCTGGCTTTCACACCTGCAGCCACCCAGAAGACCAGCAGCCCCTTCACCAGGTAGGTGGAGCCAGGTCCCACCACTTTCCCACACAGGTCTGGCCTCATGGCCTCTCCCTCTAACACGGTTTGCCAGATACAGCAACAGCATGCCCAGTTAACTGTAGTCAGACAAACAACAAAACATTTTTAGCATATATATCCCAACTATTTCATGGCTATACTTATACTAAAAAAAAAAGCATATGTTGTTTATCTGAACTTCAAATTTAACTGAGGATTCTATGCTTTTATTTGTTAATTCCTGATAATTCTGTCTTCTGGGGGTACTCAGGCTGAAACCTCCACAGGCCCCCGCTGTTGCATCTTTGTGTCAGTAAAGTCACTGCAAACCTCAGGTGGGGCTGCCCTAACCTCGGTTTACCTTGAGGAAAATAAGATTTCATGTAAGTGTTGGCAACATGAAGGCAAAACTCTGCAACATAGGCATGAGCCACCACACGACTAAGGGTGGCAGGAGAGGGGCCTGAACATGCCCTACCCGGGCCCCTGGGGTCAAGAGGGCATACTCGAGGTTTGATCTCTAGTGGGTTAGGAGAGACACTCTGTCATCTGCTCCTGGTTTCTGCCCAAGAACAACATTGTTCCAGCCCCCCAGGCACCAGAGTAGGGGAGGAAAATGCTAGAGGGAAAGGGGGAAGCTGGAAGTTCAGCGTTCTCACCCTCCCAAGCTGGAAGAGGGGTCTGGAGGATTAGTCTGATGCTCACCAACCTTGGAGGTGTCCAGAGGAGTCCCCAGAGGTCGGCACCTGTGAGCTAGCTATTGGGTTCCATCACGGCCTGCTGTGGTCAAGTCCCCCAGGTCAAGGCTGAAGCCCAAACCACAGACCCTCCTGCCCCTGCTAGAGCGCAGCGCAGAGGCCTGTGTTTCTGGCTCATTCCTCCTGGAACTCAAGGCCTGCCAGTTCCCTCTGCAGTTCAACTCTGTTTTTTTTTTTTTTTCATTCACTCGATCTTGAGTTCTATGCACGTGTCTGCAGAGCCCACTCAGCGGAGCTGGCTTTAGGACCTTGACCGTTTCTTTTGTTTTTTTCCATGCTTTTGTGCAAATTGATGGGATTTTAGCTGTCGGGGACAGAGGATAAGGGACTTTAGAGGTGTAGGGAGAGTCTGCAGAGTGAAGGTTAGTTGGGAAGGACTTTGGGGGCATTTGGACTCCGTGGCCTGCTGTATAGTCCTCCTCCATCTCCCCAAATACCCTGTCCTATCTGAGGGCTCATCCAGCATTCTGGGGGTTGGATATAATTTTGATTTTTTCCTTCTTCTTTTCGCTTTTCTTTCTTTCTTTCTTTCTTTCTTTCTTTCTTTCTTTCTTTCTTCTTTCCTTCCTTCCTTCTTCCTTCCTTCCTTCCTTTCCTTCCTTCCTTTCTTCCTTCTTCCTTTCTCTCCTTCCTTCCTTCCTTCCTTCCTTCCTTCCTTCCTTCCTTCCTTCCTTCCTTCCTTCCTCCTTCCTTCTTCTTTCTTTTCTTTCTTTTTTTTTTTTTTCCAGAGATGGGGCCTCACTAGGTTGCCCAGGCTGGTCCTGAACTCTTGGGTTCAAGCAATCCGCCTGCTTTGGCCTCCCAAAGTGCTGGGATTACAAGTGCTAGCCACCACTCCTGGTCTGATTTCAAATGTATCTGTGAGCTGAGAGTGGCCTCAAGTTGCGCTGAGGTGAAAGAAATGTTGGGAGGTCAAGACCCTGGAAGTGGGTGGAGATGGTGAGGGGGTGGAATTGATGGTCAATAGAGTTCGGCCTTACACACCCATAGAAAGTAACAGGAACATAAGGAACCCCAGGGTCAGGTGCGGGGTCCACAGGCAGAGGGTCAGGAGTAAGGTCAACTCTGCCTTCAAGGATAAGACGTCAGATCTGACACCTGAAAGGTGGGTAGCATTTGCACAGGTAGCGATGAGGGTGGGGAGGCCCTCTGGGTGCAGAATGCAGCAGAAGCCGAGGTAAGAAGAGACAGGGAATGCTAAACCCCTTCAGATAGGTGTGAGGAGGAGTTACGGGAGACCACAAAAAGGCCGGATGGGAGTTGGCAGACAGGACCTTGAATGCCAGGCTGAGTTGACTGGGGGTGTAGGGAGGACTGGAGGCCTCGCTGGTGAGCAGCATGACCATGCACCGCCAAGGGGGCTGTCCTGGCTGGGGTTCCAGGCTTGCCTCTACATAGACATTGAAGCCAGAACTGGGCATAGAGTTGAGAAGCATTCCTGAGACCTCTGACCAGGACGCAGCTCATTTCCTGTCACCATGTTCCCACACAGGTCCCTACCAGCAGCACCCACTTCCTGTTCCTGCTCCTCCTGGAGCTGCCTCTGCTCTGGCATGCTGGGGGCCGGGCCCTCAGAACAGGCTACAAAGAAGGTCTGAGGGAGGAAGAATCAGACCGATGATGAGAAACCCGATGCCCACTGACATCCTGTCCAGGAGAAGGGCTCCTCCCACAGAAGAAAGAACCTTTTCTTTTTCTTTCTTTTCTTCTTTTCTTTCTTGTTTTAAAATTTCTTTTCTTTTTTAATTTTCTTTCTAGAGATAGGTCTTGCCTGTCACCCAGGCTGGAGTGCAATGGTGTGATTCTCTGTTTACTGTAACTTTCCCTCCAGGCTCAAGCGATCCTCCTGCCTCAGCCTTCAGAGTAGCTGGGGTTACAGGCACATGCTGCCACACCCAGCTAATTTTAAAATTGTTTTTGTAGAGACAGGCTTCCACCATGTTGTCCAGGCTGGTCTCGAACTCCTGACCTCAAGAGATCTGCCTGCTTTGGCCTCCCAAAGTGCTGGGATTACAGGTGTGAGCCACCACACCTGGCAGAGAAACAACATTTCTTTGGAGAAGTGACTGGTTCTAGAGGCAGTGTTGCCCTAGCCTAGGGAACAGCCCCCAGTCCTTATCTCCTGCAGCTGTGCCACCTGGGCTATTCCCTCTCTCTGCACAGTCCCTAGGGCCCGATATAGAGCCCTTCTTCCTGAGGCCTCCAACACAGAAGAAACACAAGAAGAATGCATTTTCCCTGAGGCGCCCAAAGCACAGTGGATGTTCAGGATCCAAGTCTGTGAGCTACCTGCAATGTTAACGGACCTGTCTTTGCATTCGTGGGGTTCAAGGCTCCAGTCAATAATGGGTTTCAAAATCCTAAACCCATGAAAGCAGAAAACGGAACCAAACCTGGTAATGGGGCTAACTTAAGGAAAGACGTGCACAGAAGAGAGCAGAGGGTTTCCAGGCTGCCGTGCTCGCTGCTTTCCTGCCACTTGTGAGGAAGGAAGTCGGAGCTTCCTGGACGAGCATGACTGAAGATGTTGGGACATCACAGCCCCTTTCGCTACTGTAACACTTTCATTTGTGTCGATTGTTACGTTTTTCACTTTCTTTTAAGAGCATTACAGTTGGCTGCTACTCTCAATTTGAGGTATATGGGGAGATTGATACATTTTGAGGACTGTGACACAATCCATAAACTAGATGCCAGAGCTAGAACTGTGAGCTGGGGCTGGCAGGGTCTTCAGTACCGCTGCCTGAACTCCCGGGGTGGTGCTCAGTCTTGACTCTAATTACTGAGCCCCCTGCCCAGAGGGACCATCTGGTGGTTAGGACAGAGGTTAAATAACAAATTCCTCTGGGAACATGAACCAGGATCACCCAGCTGCCCTCTGTCAGGTCAATCTCTGTACCCAAGTGAGACTTTATTCACTCCCACCGTCATTCATTCGGTGCGCCAGGCGTGGTGGCTCACCCTATAATCCAGCACTTTGGGAGGCCAAGGTGGGTGGATCACTTGAGGCCAGGAGCTCGAGACCAACCTGGCCAACATGGTGAAACCCCATCTCTACTAAAAGTACAAAAATTAGCTGGGTATGGTGGTGCACACCTATAATCCCAGCTACGTGGGAGGCTGAGACATGAGAATCTCTTGAGCCTGGGAGGTGGAGGTTGCAGTGAGTCGAGATTGCACCACTGCACTCCAGCCTGGGTGACAGAGCCAGACTCCGTCTCAAAAAAAAAAATAATAAAATAATAAATAAATAAATAAAAATAAATAAAAATAAACAAAACATTTATTAAACATCCACTAAGTACCAGGCACTGTCTAAGTATGGGGTATCACCGAATAAAGAAAAGACCTGGGTAAATGCCGTGAAGGCAGTCTACAGGCTCAAAGATAAAGGATCACTTGGCTAGAAAATGATGAAATCACGGTTATTTCAGACTCCCCACCCCAACCTCACCCTTCATGAGCTCTGCCGTCTCTCTGGGCTGACCCATGTCCTGTCTGCTGCCCAGGCTCTGACCAGCGCTGCCCCCAGTCCCCATCCAGCGTGGACATCCCACCAACTCATAACATTCTCTGAGCGCCCATGTTTGCATCTCTTGCCGCAACATATTGAATCTTCTATTGACTTTCTGCAGCAAAAGATGAGGACTTCTGTATCTTCCTCTTTTCCCACCATCCCCTTACCCGTACTAATATTGTCGGTATGGTGGTGTTTGTATTGATGATATTTGGGTTTTTTTGTTTGTTTGTTTTTGGAGATGGAGCTCCTGTTCCACTGCCCAGGTGGGGAGTGCAGTACAATCTCGGCCTACTGCAACCTCCGTGATCCCCCAGCTTCAAGCAATTCTCCTGCTTCAGCTTCCTGAGTAGCTGGGACTCATGCCACCATGCCCAATTAATTTTTGTATTTTTAGCAGAGACAGGGTTTCAACATATTTGGTCAGGCTAGTCTCGAACTCCTGACCTCAGGTGATCCACCCGCCCCACCTCTGGTAACTGTTTTTAAAAGTGCAGTCTAGCAATGCGAATAGGACAGAGAGTCAGACTGGGGAGCTCTGTCCCTGTTCAAGAGGGAAGGCCTGTGGTAATCAGGGAGAAAGAGGGGGTGGGAGGGCAAATGGAGAAAGTGGACAGATCTGAGGGTCTTGGGGTAACACAATGGCTGGGCGTAAGAAAAGTAGATGAGCCAAGGATGTTGTCCAGGTGACTGGAGTTTCTGACCTGGGAGAAAAGGGGACCATGGGTGTAATTTACTGTGATGAGAAAAGAATCAGGCTGGGAGTTTGCAGGAGGCCAACCAAGAGTTTCCCTTTTGGGGCCGGGCGCTGTGGCCTGGGCCGCCTGTAATCCCAGCACTTTGGGAGGCCAAGGTGGGCAGATCATGAGGTCAGGAGATCAAGACCATCCTGGCTAACACGTGAAAACCCGTCTCAATAAAAGTACAAAAAAAAATCAGCTGGGAGTGGTGGCAGGCATTTGTAGTCCCAGCTACTCGGGAGGCTGAGGCATGAGGGCAGGAGAATATGAACCCGGGAGGAGGTGGAGCTGCAGTGAGCCGAGATCATGCCACTGCCTCTCCACCTGGGCGACAGAGCAAGACTCTGTCTCAAAACAAACAAACAAACAAAAACAGAGACGTAATCCTTGCCCTTAGAGAATCACAGTTTGGCAGATACACGTGTTCTACCTCCATTCAGTGATTCTACTCCGCCAAGATGAAGGCACAAGCAGCAAGTGCTCAGATTACTTCAAACTCCCTTCCCCAGAGCACCAGGAGAGAAAGCATCTGCTTTATCTCAGTCTCAGGTTCCTGGTTTCTGCTGTCTCCTTCAAGCAGTAAAGGCCTACAGCTGGGCAAGACAATCAGGACATTTAGCCTCATGACTTCTCAGCTTCAGACTCCAATCATAGTCGCCGGGAGCCAGGTCACCAAACCAGCAGCTCAACGTGACTGTGCTTTTACTTGTCTTATTCTTGCCCTTCACGATCTCATCTTTGTCTTTCCAATTTCCTCCCCAGACTCACTAGCAAGAGGAAGTTAACCAGATCAACATCCTCATTCTTATGGTTGAAAGAACACAAATCGATTCTCATTCTTGCCATTTTCCTTCTTGTTTTGTCGAATCTCCCAGGGTTTCTCTCTTTCCTGTCAAGACTAGCTAATTTGCACAATTGTATCTAAATTTACTGATTTAATTCTTTCTATAAGCTATCCTTTTCTGTTCCTGCTACCCATATAAGAGACTTTTCTTTCTCTAATCAACACTCAACAATCAATAACATTCATAGACAAGTAGTGGGAATGTATTTGAATAAACACTGTGGTATTGATGGATAAAGGGTCTAGTGTAGCAGAAACTAATTACAAAAATGATAGCAAACAAATAAAGCAAAATCGAATATCCATGACAAATCCAAAAACAATTTCCTTGGAAAGATGTTGGCAAGTCTAATGAAATGAAAGATATATGATGTTGACCTCTATAACTGAATTAACTTGGTCATCTTCCCAACAAGATCACTATTTGAGTAGAATTTTTCTTTTTTTTCTTTCTTTCTTTTCTTTTTTTTTCTTTTTCTTTCTTTTTTTTTTTTTGAGATGGAGTCTCACTGTCGCCCAGACTGGAGTGTAGTAGCACGATCTTGGCTCACCGCAACCTCCGCCTCCCGGGTTCAAGTGATTCTCCTGCCTCAGCCTCCTGAGTAGCTGGGATTACAGGATGTGTGCCACCATGCCTGACTAATTTTTTTGTATTTTTATTAGAGACTGGGTTTCATCATGTTGGCAAGTCTGGTCTTGAACTCCTGACCTCAGGTGATTGGTCCACGTTGGCCTCCCAAAGTGCAATGATTACAGGCATGAACCACTGTGCCTGGCCACTATTTGAGTAGAATTTCTCACCTCATTTGCCATGTCCTTCCTATACCTGTGGGACCTAGTACTCCCAGGTAAACACTCTTTCATTGGAAGCTAGCTTGGATGGCACCTTATGCTACTTCCCCTATCATCACAACAGCTGGCTCTCCTCTGTTATCATATTGTGCTAAAATTCAGTTAAACTTTCCATCTCTTCTTGTTGGGGGTACTCAAGACCACTCCCAGGTTTAATGATTCACAAGCATAACTATGAAAAGGAGGTCTAGAATAACTAACTCCATTTTGCTCCTGACCACACCCCTACCCTGCAATGTCTTTAGCATATAACCTAAACTAATCAGGAGGAATTTAGTGTCTAGTTTACCTTTTTTTTTTTTTTTTTTTTTTTTGAGACAGAGTCTCACTCTGTTGCCCAGGCTGGAATGCAGTGGTGTGATCTTGGCTCACTGCAACCTCTGCCTCCTGAGTTCAAGCAATTCTCCTGCCCTGCAGTCTCCCGACCTAGCTGGGAATACAGGTGCCTACTACCACATCTGGCTAACTTTTGTATTTTTAGTAGAGTCGGGGTTTCACCATATTGGCTAGGGTTGGGTCTTGAACTTCCTGACTAGGTGATCTGCTCTGTCTTGGCCTCCCAAAGTGCTGGGATTACAGGTATGAGCCACTGCTCCTCACCATAGCTTAACTCTTTAAAACAAGGATAATAATAGTCCCTTGCAACACCCCGAAGCAATAAGACAGAGACATACACGCAGTAACAGTGTTATGCTAAAGATTTAGAGCATCATGACCTGACCAAGGACAAAGAAGGTAATGCAACCTCCTCAACTGAGGCCTGTGATGTCTGTTGTCACCTGTCATTTCCTGGCTCAACTCCTCCTTGTTCTGCCTCCCAATATAAAGAAGCTGAGATTCATGCCTTTTAAGACTGTTCTTTAGACATGAGTCCACCATCTCCTTGGTTTGCTGGCTTGTAAAGTCATCTTCCTTGCTCCAATAGCTTGTCTCTCGACTTACTGGCTGTTGCTTGGCAAGCAGTCTGCTTTGACTGCTACACTAGAAGGACTCAGAACTCAGAAAAGCTGTTATGCTCATGATTATGGTTTATTACACTGAAAGGATATGGATTAAAACCAGCAAAGGTAAAAGTGTGACAGCAAGCTGCCAGCTGTCCTCTCCCAGTGGGATTTTTGCAGACAATGTTTAATTCTCCCATCCTAGCAACAATGTGTCACAACACACACGAAGTGCTCCAACCAGGGATGCCTCGCCTAAGCCTTGGTATCCAGAGAGTTCACTGGGGTCAGTCATATAGTCATGGAACACCTGTAGAACTGACCTCAGTGCCTAAGTCTCCAGAGAGAAACTAAACTACATAGCTCAGAGTTCCCCACCCACCCAGAATTACATTGACGGGCGCTAACCATCTAGCATGTATTAGAAGCTCCCGCCGTAATCACATTGTTAACATGAGCTATCCAGCGTGGCACAAAGCTCCCAGATAAATTGTAAAGACACTCTAACCAGGCAGGATGTTCCAAGGGTTTAGAGCTTATCTCCCAGAGCAAAGGCGCTAAGCCTTTTTGGGAAGATGCAGTTTGGACAACCTAAGCTCGCTGAGTTAACATTCTTGCATGCATCCCTGCACTTGTAGCAGAACTGAGTACCAAGCAAATGAGTTTCAAGGAATGACCAAAAATGCAACAAAGTGTTCTAACATTGATTATAATGCATTGCTGCTGGATTTTGGTCATTATTGAGAACCACAGCCATTGATTATCATTGAGAACCACAGTCCTTATGGAGTAACAGAGAGCTCCTCTGGTTTCCTGGTCCATCTACCAAAAAGAAAACTGTGTTGAAGTGTTCACTCTGCTCACATTGGAACCAGAGCCTCTAGTATCCATCAGGAGCCTGCAGGGTGTCAGTCTTGTCTACCACAGTGCCTCCTCGCATAGCAAATGTCTGGCAAGTCACTCCGCTGATGGAATGAGAACACATGGCATGAGGGTTGTAAGATGACCTCCTGCCTGCCCGCTCTCCCTTGACCCAGCGACAGGAGGAGCTGTATAATGTGGGAATATTTTATCTTAGTTGGTAATAACTGTATTAAGGATTGGGTCCTTCCAAGAGTATGTATCTACTCAGGTCTAGTGCCCACTCTAGGCATTTTGAGCTGGAAGGTACTCAGGGAATTAGGTGCTATAATATTGTGAAAGGGCTGAAGAAGTAGTTCTCAAGATTGTCCCTCCCTTCTCCTCCTCACCCAAAAAGCAGCTCACTTTGAGGCCCCTAGGGTCACACAGGGAGCATGAAGTCTTGGTATCTGCCAAGCAACTGCCTTCCATATCCAGGAAGCTAGAGAATAAATTTTTAAGGAAGCTGCAATCCAAGGAATCTTCCTAATGGAAGTCAGATGAAGAAGTTGTCACTGCTCTCACTGCCTCTTATCACCCGGAAGCCAGAAACATACCCTGAACTCTGCTTCAAGGAAAGTCTCCTGTTTCTTCTAACTTTGTTTGCCAACAGCAAATGGCTAAGAGCCATGGAGGATAACCTCTGTCTAACTGGGCCTTTCAAATGGCCTCAGAGACACCTTAGTTGGTGGAATCCAATCAACATCCAAATCCCTGATTCCCTAAAATGAGGAAAGTGACAAGAAGCCTCACTGTTTCTGCAAAGGTCTTGCCCAGACAGGGCTCAGGAGAAGGAGCACAAGTGACTCATGCTGAAGGCCAGAACAGTGAAGCACTGGGACAGACACTAGATTTCATGGTCTCAGTCAGTCGTGCTGCTGTAATAAAATACCATAAACCCGAGTGG